TGGAATTTATGGAGAAGAAAAATTATAATAAAAGAAGATGATATAACAGAAGTTTTACTTGGCAATAACAGTGTCCCAATGATCAATCAACCAATGGACGGCAAAGTCTGTAGTATGGTTCTAAATCCTGAAAATATAGTCTTAAAAAGTGATGCAGACTCTTTTAATGAAAAACATTTCAAAATCCAAATTGCTCAGAAAAAGTGAAAAATCCATTTCTCTAATTGTTAAGCATATATGATGTCACAACTAATTTAAGAAGGGTTCTGAAAGTGGGATAAAAAATTTAAACAAAAAGCAGAAGATTCACTTCTCGACTGAAAACTTGTACTGCAAGCAGCAATGTCAAAAATTTAGAATGGATTAAAATTTCTTATTGTTTCCAAAATCAGCTTTGATTTTGCAGCCTAAGGAGAAGTGGGCAAGAGCTTGAAGTGCCATTACAGAAATCAGCTAATTTTAAGCATTTTGGAGAAATATGGCAAATAACATTTCATTTCTCAATACAAGATACATAGATACATTCTCAATACATAGAAGATAGATAAATGTTATAGATTCAACCATCCTAAACTGTTTTCTGCATGCTGGTCTAGAAAAAGATGTTGAAGATGATAATGAAAACAGTGCTGGCTAGGCAGAAAAAAATGGCACTTCAAAATTTCCAGAATGTAATACAAGATAACAGCGTTGCATGCAAAAATCTGAGTGATGTGGTCAACATGTTTCTGTAATGATAAAAATTAAAGTGAAAAATGCTAAAGATTCTTCTGTTGCGCATGAAACTGAACACAGAAAATGAACTTTCCATTGACGATGTCAAAGCTGCAATATATATCATTAATGGGTTATTCACACTAATTCTAAAATCAAAAGTGATGCATTTGTTTCAATTTTTGCAAAAAAATATTGACAAAATTTTTCTGCATTATGCCAATGAAAAATTAAATGTAAATTCATCAATATTTTTTTATTATTGACTGACAGTCTCAAAAGAAGTGAGCTCTAGGCCATTCAGAGAACTTTGAAATGACCTGAAAAAATGAAAATCTCAGGTGACAAGTTCTGGTGAATATGGAAGGCAACATAAATCATCCTAGCCTTACTAAATAAATCTTAGACATTCAATCAAATGTGGAACGAAGCACTCACGATGGGAAATAACAATTTTGACAATTAGTCAGGTACTTCACTTCCATTTCTGCTTTTAAGACTGGCATTTGAGTACTTTCCTTATTTTTTTTATTTGATTTTGTCACAAAAATACATAACATGCAATTCCTTTGCAGTCCCACTATACACAAAGTTGTGGATTTTGCCCCCCTCGCAATGTTACTAAAGGAAGCTCTTTTGGCTTATCCCATTATCTTTTCCTTGTAATATTACACTTGAATATACACTTGATCATCTCCGATAATGAGCCATTTAAAAAAGGTGCTTTTATATATATTTTCAGCAAAGAACTGCATGCTAAAATTTGAGCAAGCAAATTCTGCTCTGTTGAAATATAAGGTACCCATATGTTATAATGGTTTACAGACCCAATTGTCTTAAAATGATCATGTACTATACTTTTTGAAATAGTTAATGTATCTATCTCCTGAAGCGTATAATCTGGATTTTCAGGGATAGCTACTTTTATCAGATCTTTGTTTACAGAGGATGGCTGTCCAGAGAAGGCATCATCTTGAAGGCTGAAATTTCCATGCTTAAGCCACCTTTAAACCATGTCATTGGAAGCAACTAGAAATTTTTAAAGCAGTCCGACTAGCACTTCTTCCTTTTTCAAAAATGAAAGATCGTAATATGATGAAAATGAACTTTTGAGTTCTTTAGTCTTTGAATTTCAATGAAACAAAAATTATGGCAAAAACATTTGAAAATTTAAACATTCACTTTGATTATGGTCACTCTTTATCAGCAAAACGAGAAGAGAACACACTCTGATTTGAAAAACCACAGAACTTGACTGATGACCCAATATTTTATGTGCGACAGGATTAGTCTTTTCCCATACACATAACACAATCAATGTCAACAACTGCAGTGTTATTTAAGATTGTTTGAACCATGGAGGTAGGAAGTAAGATGGAGTGGCTCTAACTGGTTTTCCCCATACACTGCCTTGAAGCACTGGCTATCCCTTCGTGGTGACCAAAACATTGGATCATTTACCATTAAGTTCAATGGGTTTTGACATAACTGGATGTAAATATTTTATAATTACGTCATAAATATACATATAAAGGCATATATTTTCTTTTTCTACAATATTTCAGAGTCCTAAGTATATGAAAAGAATACATTTTTAAACAACATTCCATTTTGAACTGAATTAAATGCTATACTTTTCACAGAACAGTTTGCTCAGAATGGTTTAATTTGAATGAAATATTTTCACAACTTTTCCTTAATTACATTAGAAAATTTTTAAAAATTTTTTCTAACGTAATTCGATTTTATTCGATTAAGGATATAAAAATTATGATCAAAGTTTATTATATTATTAATATTAAAATAACGCATTATTTCTTTTCTATTTATAGAGCTTTTTCCTAAAATACGTTCTCAAACATGACATGATTTTTTAGCTTCTGAGGCATCTTTTAAATCGAAAAATCTAAGTCAATTTATAATTAATGTTCTATTTGGTCCATTTCAAATTAGAGTACCTTTTATTTTAATAGTGTATAGTACTTAACGTTAAATGGTTCTTAACTTTCACTGAATATTTCTGAAAGGGAATAAAAGAACATTTTTTAAATATGATTTAAACCATTTAACTGAGTTATTATAAAATATAAGGGGAATAATCCTTTTAATTATACTTATCAGATTTTGTTAGCCTTAATTTCAACAATACACAGTCTAAAACTCTTATTACTTTCTTAAGTATACACCTCACAGAATTAGCTTTACAATACTTTTTAACAGATTGCTTTCCAGTACGAACAATTCTTGCTTAAATAGTTTTATGACGTATTTGTCAACAGGATTTCAATTTATGCTACAATTCAATGTTGATGTTATTATACATTTTGATAATATGTATAATCATTATGAATGTAGATACATTTAATAATTTGATTTCTTCACAGTAACTTTCACAGGTGTTTATGAATGAATAAATACTTCATTTCAAATACATTTATAAATAATTTAATACATATTTATGTATTTTATTAAAGGCAGATACATGCTTTTTTCAAGCAGATGCATAAATACCCATACATATTTCATATTTTTCATTTTCGGCATGTGCAAATCTTTAATTTCTGTGCATTCACTATATTTTTCGAGTAAAGTAATTTACAAAAACTTAGCATATACCCAAAAAGTTTTACATAAGAAATATGTATAAATATAATTTGAATGAAAATTACATAAATTATTTTTTAATACCCATCAAAGGTCAGTTTTTCTTCGAAATTTCTCCTCAATGGCATCTCTCCCTTTACGCAGATAGCCTTTGCATACCTTACTCTATTTAATAAAAACTTAACCTGACCTATGTGCCTAATTACAAATATTTTAACATGCATAATTTTATATTTACATTTAGCCAACAAGTTTCAAACACTTGACTTTCAAACACGTTTTAGGATACAGTCATCATCAAATTCAAATTTTCTAGTAAATATATTTTGGCAGAGCACTCAATACCTCTTTTAGGCGATTTTACACAGTTTAATAATTCTCTGATAATATAATAATAATAACTATCCACATCAAGGAAAAGTTAACTTACTGGCATATATGTGTGTATAATTTATTAATCTTGAGGAAAATTGCAGCATTTGGTTGTAATTTAATTTTTTACTTCACCCAAATAAGTAAAACGTGTAAACCCAAAGTGATTATTTTTAAATTATATAAAAGTAAAATGATAAGTTTAAAATGAGCAACTATAAAGCGTCTCCTCTAAAAATTTTTAAAAAGTACATGTCAGAATAATATGTGGATGACAAAAAAAAAAAAATTATTTAAAACATTTTGGCGTTTGGAACATAAAATAAAAGTAGGATATCTATCAAGGATATCGAAAGATGTATAAAATTTTAAAGGTACCGTAAAGGTATTTTTCTTTCTTTAAGTATAACACTTTTGCTAAAATCTATATTTTTGTAGTTTAACAGCTTTGAATTTTATAAAACAAATTCATAATCAAAATTGCTGTTGTTAGTTATCGAAAAAAATCAAGCTGTGATTTTTGTGTAAATGTCACTTAACTATACAAATTGCTATTATCCATCACACAATGAATGTTTTATTATGCGGAAATGTCTTGTTTTTCGATTTGTATGAAACCGTCATGTATCAAAATATTATCGAAGCACTGTCAAGGGAGTTTCCAAAAGTAAATAAAAAACCTCCCATCTGGAGATTGAAGCTTTGGAGCAGTCTTAGTGCTGCGCTGGCCACTCCTTCCTTTCTTACCTCCATGGTCTGAACATGTAGAAAGGGGCAGAACAAAATCTTGGCCTTTGACATATTCCTGTAAGAAGTGATCACAGGGTGTTAAATCTGGGCTTCTCCATGCTTAAACATGGCTTCAGCCAACATGCCAGAGCCATGTTTTGGACTCTTGAGGCATGTTTCGGACTCCAATGCTGAGGCATATTTTCTTCCTACCATGTTTTAAAACCGTATAACAGAACAATATCTGATTTTGCATATTAAAGCACTCAGAAGTTTTTTCTATCTGATTCACAGCCATACTGCTTAACTGATGATAAGAATGCTCATATGATGCTGATGTCAAAAGCATAATCAAAGAAGGTTTTAAATTTGAAAATTTTCTCTCTATAAAAGGGTATTAAATGCTTATAAAATACTTTATTTGTAAGAATTTAATCAAGAATTCTATTCTTTTAGTCTAACCCTGCATTTAAATACTGTTTAAAAGTGTAAAAGAGAATACCTTCGTAAATACACAGAAATAAAAAAAATAATTTAATTATTTACTTAATGCACTATAAAAAACCAATAAAATTATTTACATTTAATTCTTTTGTATCTTCATGGCCATTTATTAAAATGGAATCGCACTGAAGCATAATGTGTGCTAGTGCTAGAGCTGATTTCCATGCTTGTACTTTAGATGAAATGTCATCAAGTCCTTCAGAGTCATAAGTGAACGTTTTATCCATTAACATTTTCTGAAAGTTTTGAAAGCCATTAGCAAGAGCTAGGATTACACGATTTGAATCTGGAAAGAAAGGGCAATACTTAAAAAAAAAATTAAGTTTAAAGCTAATTAATTTCATTGAAACAGTTTTAATAAAAAATTAAAGAAATGTACACATATTTACTTTCAGCACCCAAAACTAGTTTTTGCAAAGAAACATAGCACCATTCTTCAGTTTTCCCTCCTCCTGGAAGTACTTTGTTTTCTTCTGTTGCATGCTGTAACCTGTACACCAAATGCCATAATTGATGTTCTAAGCTGTACAGAATAGCAGGATTTGGATGACACAAAACCAAAGTATAAAGATTTGCCTATAAGTAAAAAATACACGTTTTGAAAATATTTTTATGGATTGGTTAAAAAACCAAGATATGATTTCATAGAGTTTGATATTTAAAAAGAAAAAAAAATCTATATTAGAAGAATATTATATGACATTAACAAAATTTTTGTTATTATGTACTGACTAAAAATCCAGGATATAATTACAATGAAACTGACATTTAAACAACATAATTCTATAGTAGAATAACATTATAATAACATTAGAAGCATTTTGTAAAATTAATTACTCTTTGTATTCATAATATTCTAAAAATCATATTCATTACTTTTAAATTATTTTGTGACATGGACAAGTAATGCATAACTAAACTGTCAAAGATAAAAGAACTTATCTAGCTTAAGTTGGCAATAACTCATACAGCTGGCATTTTGAGTTACTTACTGCTTGCTGTGCATCTATTCTAAAAGCAATGCCTAGGAAAACTATGAAATATGAAAAGTATTATTTAAGAATTATTCCTATTTAAATGATAAAGGTTACTAAAATATATTTATGATGCTATTTGCTTATCACTTTGCCTTTCTGATATGGAAACTGTTAAGACACAATAACACGCCGAACAAATACTAATTCAGAAGTCAAACAACAAAAAATCAGCGTTATATTTTCAAAATTTTCACAGGACTAGTTTCGATGGTTTTACCGAACCACCATCCTCAGCTGCAAAACCGCAAATGAACAAGATAGGAAATAATGATAAGATAAGAAAGCCTGGACAAGAATAAGCAAGTGGTGCCATCTGTTGGTGAAACCAGAATTAAAACATAATTTCTTTAAAGGCCGAAGGCGAAGACGGATTGGAATTAGGATCGTTAACTAGAACAGAAAGATTTTTTTGAATGTGAAATGCCTCTAGAAAATCCAGTTCTCCAATGGAAGATGTTTTTTGAATAATTTTGGCAGCAGAAAAATTGAAAGGGTGATTTTCGGACCAACAATGTTGAGCAACAGAAGACTTCTGCGTTTCAACTCTATTAGACAATAACATTTACACCATAAAAAATTCAATCGAATTTGTAAAAAAGGTTAAAAAAAATTTCTCTTAGAAATTTACTCATGGTTTCTTTTGATGTAAAATCATTATTCACTAATGTTCCAGTGGAACGTGCATTAAGATGTCTAGAAACCAGACTTCGCGAATTTCATTTGCATCAAAATTGATGAGCTAATTTCTCTCACTCAACTCTGTTTGAAACAAACACATTTTGTTTTCCAAAATAAATATTACAAGCAAACTGAGGGATTAGCCATAGGAAGTCCCCCCAGTCCGATCCTGGCTGATATCTACAAGCATTATTATGAATCAAAATTGTTTGAAACTTTAAACTTCCCGGTATGGTTCCGCTACGTAGACGATACTTTTACCCTGTTTGAAGGTAATAATGATGATTTAAATAAAGTTCTTTCAACAATGAATTCTATTGATCCTGCTATTCATTTCACTTTTGAACTAGAGACTTGCAATTCTCTTCCGATTCTCGACATTTTGGTCACACGTAACACATCCAACTTCAGTACTACGGTTTACCATAAGCCTTTATCGGTTTGCCTTCCACCACACTTTAAATCATGTCATCCGACTAAACAAAAGTTAGCTTCATTTTATTCCTATGTTGTCCGTGCTCTTCAAGTTTGCTCCTCCAAACTAGCCCTTGATGAAGAACTAAATTATTTAAAAGCAATAGCTATTGACAGGGGCTTTTCACCCAACATTATTAATCAAGCAGTTAAAAATTCTCATCTCAACACACTAAAAGAACACACTCTTGTTTTAGGAGATTATACAAATTCTGTTGTCATTCCCTTCTTTCCATCAATTAGCTATAAAGTTGCACATATTTTGCAGAAATTTAACTTTTGGGTTGTTTATTCTCCCATCAATAAAATTCTGAGTGTCATACTCAAGGACCCCATTCCGGATATGAATTCCCGGGGTATTTATAGGATTCCTTGCCAGTGTGGTTTAATTTACATTGGCCAAACTAAGAGAGCCTTAAAATTTCACGTCAAGGAACATGAGGCATATGTTAGAAAAAAGGAAACACAGAAGTCTTCTGTTGCTCAACATTGTTGATTCAAAAATCACACTTTCAATTTTTCTGCTGCCAAAATTATTCAAAAAACATCTTCCATTGGAGAACTGGATTTTCTAGAGGCATTTCACATTAAAAAAAATCTTTCTGTTCTAGTTGACGATCCTAATTCTAATCCGTCTTTGCTTTCGGCCTTTAAAGAAATAATGTTTCAATTCTGGTTTCACCAACAGATGGCGCCACTTGCTTATTTTTGTCCGGGCTTTCTTATCTTGTCTAATCATTATTTTCTATCCTGTTCATTTGAAGTTTTGCAGCTGAGGATGGTGGTTCAGTAAAACCATCGAAACTAGTCCTGTGAAAATTTTGAAAATATAACGCTGATTTTTTGTTGTTTGACTTCTGAATGGAAACTGTTATTATGAATAATCTATTAACTTATGTTACATTCAATCTTACTGTTACAAAATCAATATTCGATGAAGCCTTTAATGCCCATGTACTACTATAGGATTTGATTATAGGGAAGATGACTTTCTATGGGAAACTGAAGTTAGAAACTTATACATTACAAAAATCTCATGCAGACAACTTGAACTGCTTCTGGTTAGCAGCTTACTCTATAAGACTCAGGACTATTAAATTTCTGATGTTTTTTGTTGTTTGGTCAAGTAGATGGAAGAACAAAGACTATTGAGGAAAATCTAGAAGTTGGATTTTGAAAGAACTCAACTGATCTAAGAAATCTTGGTTAGTTATCAATATGAAGCTTCATGCTTGAAAATGATAAATCAATCATAATAGTTAAGACTTTTTATACTCATTGTTAATGATTCTGTAATTAAACAATGCAACAATAAAATATAATTGAGTTTAGGGAGGAAGATATTGCAGAAATTTTAAATTTCAAATTTTTTACCAACTTACTTTTTTTTTTTTAAATGCGTACAATAATTAGTGCAATTTCAGTTGGCACCCTGACTAAAGACCTATCCAAGCAGGGATGTTAGTTAAAGGAATGCTCTTCTGTGGGGTCCTTTTTTCAGTTTCAAGTCATCCAGAAAATTTTTATGAAGTAATATGGTTACTGCAAAATTCTCGTCTCAAAAAAAAAAAAAATATCTTTAGCTTTACTTGTAAAGAAGTTACCAAGATGTTGTTTGAAAGCTTCCAAAGAATTCTGAAGCGATCAAAATCTAATAAAGCAGATGTAATATCTATAATCTAATAAGTCAGATGAATAACCCCAGCTATCCTTAATAAGTCTGTTGAAGATTCATTGAAATGAGCATTGTTATGATGAAACATTACCCTAAATGGTCAGTTCTGAACGATTCATATAGATTTTTGCTTTTAGAACAGCCATCTCCAAACAGCATTTGTCTCAACTGATAATCTAATAGGTGGTAACAATTTATAATAAATTATTTTTTTATAACCTCACCATACAAAAGCATCATTTTCTGGGGATAAAGCCTCCCTTCTGGAGCTGACTATAAGACATTTTACTTATGCCATAATCTTTTTCTTGTAACATTATTATATAGTTCAATGACCTCATCTCCAGTGATCAGTGTTTTGCTCTGTCTAAATATGGAGTATCCACACTTGATAGCAGCTTAAATACTCAAACTTCTTCATATGAATACATATTGTGCTCTTCAGAATATTTATGTTCTGACTTATGTTTATATAAATTTCTATTGTTCCTGAAAGGGAACAATATGAATTTTCAACAAATTCTTTTTAAAATCTTTTTCAAAGGAAGGTTTCTAGAATGGCTACCATCTTTGAGGCTACGGTGGACCACACACACAGATGAGAAAATTGTGTGTGCGGTCTCGGCATGTCACCGTTTCCAAGCTTTTATAGTCTGCCAGACCAGAGGACACATTGCAGATGCAATAATTTGTTCCACTTGACAGTGCAAGAGACATAACTTCATGACTAGTGTGAAGAAATTTTAGTGTTCTGCACTGAGTCTGCTATCAAACCCTCTCGATTTCAAGAGGGCTGACAAATCACTGACCTTGGTTTTCCTCTCATATTGTTCCATATATAATGAATCAGAGGATGTAAAATACTACCGAAAAATTAAGGAGGCATGGCTAATTCAGTCTGTAGATTTTCTCTAACTTAAAAGAAAGCTCTTGAACTCTCGATAGAGAGACCCTTGTTAGCAGGTTCCTCACGTCACGAGAACCATACTTCACGTCACGAGAACCATACTTCACGTCAGTAACTTTCTAAGCTATCCATGAATTATATATATATTTTAAAGAGCTTTTCGTAATTGTAATAAATATATATTTCAGTTCCAAATGAAGTAAGTATTATGCAACCTTACAAATGTACTAATCATTTCCATGGAGTCAGAAGCATTACCTGCCGCCCTGTTACAAGGCTGAAATTCCATGCTAAAGCTCACAAACTACCTTTGAAATGTGTCATCAGAAGCAGCACTTAAAGCATATACTGTGCAAATTTTACAAGCTATCCGAGTGGTTGTTTTGATATTTTTTGAAATAAAAGATAATATATGACAAAAATGAATTTTTTATTCTATATTTTAAACACTGCATTAAAACAAAAACAATGTTACAATACAATACAAGTAAGAGTCCAATTTACCCAGTTTTTTAATGAGGTCAAATCAAGATCTTTCATTAGCAGTAGTAACATAAGAATTAAGAGATAAAGAAAATTGCAGAACTTTCTAGATTAACCAATAGTTATATACTCTGTGGCCTCTACTCATGTTATTTAATGAATCTTCATTGTTTTCTGGTGTCTGATTTCATAAATGTAATCAAGTGAAAATTAAAAATTTAAAAGTTTGCTTTTACATAGTTGACCCTATTCTGTACATAAATGGATTTCAATAGAAAATGTACATCCGTACTTTTTATTCACAGCTGACGTGGTATTAAATTTCCTCCTCTTGTTTTTAGATATATTGACTTATTATGATCATGAAGATGCAGAATGGGATAGCTGATAGAATGCTGCGTAGGTAGCATTGCCCTTTGAGAATCATCAAGGCAAGCTGCATCACTTGAATGGCTTACATATTCTATTTCTTTACACTTTTAAACTTTCTTTAAAACAATATTGCTCCTCATTCAAAAATTAGAAAATGTAGGTTGCTAATAAAAACAACAGAATTTTTCATACTCAGCATTTGATAAGATTTAGTCTTTGGCAAACATTAGAAGAGAGAATGAATTGGGTGGAAACTTTAGTTTCATTTATACTTTCTCCCTCAGTTTGTTGGTGATTGCCAGTGGAGAGAGAACCAATCTTCAAACAGATCTTACTAGCAAGCTTCTTTGAAAGCCAAAGACAACTCTTTCAGCAATTATCTTACATATGCTTTATTTATATTGACATTTGCCTACTCACAAGCATATTCTTTCAATCTTGAACTGTCAATGTTTCTAAAAAATTACACATGAATCTGCTGATCTAAATATATATAATGACAAAATTTAGCTCAAAAAGGCTGCAGATAAGCAAATAAAAATTATACAAAATCCATTATTTGGTAATGCAGTACAATTTTCCAAAATTTCAAATTGCTGTTTCCAAGCCATTGAAAATTAAAAAAAAACTATATTTAATCACTATACTATATTTAAGTTCAAACTATATTTAAGTTCAAAACTATATTTAAGTTCAATAAGTAAGAGCCAAATCTTCACACCAGAAACATCTACAACAGATATTTTCTAAAATTTTATTTTTTTATGTCATGATCTTACACTATAACGCAATTATCATGTTGCCAAGCACAGTACTATTGCTTCAAGCATAATATCTTTACTCATTTTCTAGCTTTATAGCAATATCCAGTAGTTCTGAGACTGTTGTAATTTAATGTTCAACAAGGTCGACTAATCTTTCAAATTACATAATAAATATACTTTACCTACTGAAAATTTTAGGAATATTAGAAAAATTATTGCAATTAATAAAAGACGTTTACAGAATTATTATTATTATTTTTAAAACAAGTTCATTTTAAAGGGCAACATACCAAATGCATTCTTCTTTGAATTTAAAAAATACTGTTTAATCAGCCCCCTCATCCCTATAAAAAAAGAAATTCTTACATTTTGTTTGTGTGTTACGCTAATATGGCAGTACTTCTCACAAATTTGATGATCTAAACTCCACTTCTTCACTATAATATTTTCAGTAATACTTTTCTGCAAAATAAAAATAAGATATAATATTCAAGTAAGAATTAAGATCAGAAATATGAAGTAATAATGTGAATAATGAAAAACTGCTCACTGAAATAAGAATTATATGTTAGCTAACTAGTTCCCCCCCTTCAGGACTAATATATTATAGTTTAAAAAAAATCCTTAAATTTTAAATAAGTCCAAAAATATCAGAATTACTTTTTGTTACATCTAATATGCAAAATAAGCATTTATTATGAATGTTTTACAAACTGACCAATCAGTTCAACAATTACAGAATTAGTTCATTTAGCATTTACAGAGTTATCAGGAAATTAAGTTCTATACAGTTAATAATAGCTATACAGCTAATCATTATATATATGCTCATGCCTATAGGCAGGAGAATTATGAAAAAAATTAATAAATACTGCATTTATTAGAGTATTTCTCCTCCTTATGTACTCCCCCTAGTTTTTTCACTATATGGTTTAGAAACTTCTGACTCATGGTAACAAAAAAATGTAAAATACATCTGCGAATGAGAACGTATTTAATTGTATAAGTAAAAAAAAAAAAAAAAAAAGAAAAGAAAAAAGAAAAAGTAAATAAATTATGTACAAAATTCATGTAAATAAAAAAATATTACTGAAACTAATAAGTCCTTTTAAATTCATAATATAATAATATTGACACATCTTTATGTGTGCTTCTTGATGTATTATGTTAAGCTGTCTCTCCAGAAATAGTATGCAGTGCATATTTTCCCCCCTCCCTGTTTTCCAGTGGTAAAATTATAGTATGAAAAGAGTGGAAATATAGAAGTAAATACAAAATATATATTTCTATTTTGTACAATTAAAAAAAAAAAAGCTTGTCTTTCTAACTATCAATCTTTGTACATGAAGGGTTTATTTTATAGACTGAATAAATTCAGGGTTTATTCTAAAGCTGTTAGACTAATTAAGAGCAGCACTATATAAAATCTATATAAAATAGTAAAAAGACATATTTACTTTATCACAATCAAGCAAGTAAGTACAAGGATAAGTATCTGTTGCTTTACACAGTGCTTTTAATGCTTTCCAGGGTATCTCAGATAAAAGGAGAATGTTATTAGTAGAACACATGCTTGATATTGCAGAATCAACTTCACCTTTTACCAATAATACATTTACTTGTAACTAAACAATGAGAGAATATAATTAATACGAAACAGAACATATATATATATATATATCAGTTGTAAACAAAATCCATTTATGTTGAAAAGATTTACATAATTTTTTTAATTGCAAGATAAAGCACAGCAAAATTATCATGTAAAATATCCAAATGATATACTTTAATATCCATGTGAACAAATTAAATTCTGTTGTGAATTTTTACATCATTTATGTCTTCTGCTAAGTTGCAATATCAGCTCTGACACATTGGGATAATTGTGACCTAATTTTATGCTGTAAATCAGGGTTTTTTAAAGTGTGGGCTGGTAAACCTTAACCAGCAGGAGGTCACCAAAATTTTAGCAGTTTTGATATTTCTTTAACTTATTATAATAATTTTACAATTACCAAATATTTTTACACAGTGTATCTGAAAATAAACAAACACAAGACAATACAGACAAAGAGGAAAAAAAAAAGTTTCGATTCATTCTTTTTATAATATAAACGTTCATTTTCCTTGCTTTGCATGTGATGCTGCCATTTCGTCTGTTACTTATTTAAAATTTTGACATTGCTCTATGTCTTAAAATTAGAAATTAAAGTTAATGGCCTAAAACTGCAATACAGTCAAAAGTCATTAATTCGGACACCCATAATCCGGAATGATCTATAATCCAGACCTCAATGCTACAAACTTTCTGCGCATGCGTCACGGCTGCAAATATGCGTGTTCGCATGCACGTAATACATTTATGCATGCGCGTTTAATGTATAACGGACGGTATAAGCTAAGCTAAAATTATCTAATTCAGTTAATTTTGCAGATTGCGTTGTTCCTTAATCTTCGAATTGGATCCGGCTTATTATTTTTTGCAGACTGTTAGATCAATTTTTTAAAAGTAAGCATGAACTTTCGATTATGTCAAATGGAATTTCCGATATATATTTACTAATATGTAAAGGATCTACAAAGCGAAAGTATGTTTCGAAGACCATTAAAAAAAAAGTGGAATTGCAGCAAAAAATGGATAAAAGCATATTCTTTGTTTCTCTAACCATTCCGAAATCTGTTTATCAATTTCACGCTGCTCTGCGGCAGGGGGAAGGGGGGAACGCCGCGGCGTGCAATGAATTGGAAGTTGATCTGTCAGCACTATCCTTATCTTCAGGGCAGATGTTTTTATTTTATTTGGCTTATAATTCCTTACTAAATGTAGTATTTCCTCTCGATGTACTCCATCTTTGATATGTAAATCAAATTTCCTCGTCATTATAATTCGCTTCAGATAGTGAGAAAGTGACACAGAGGTTATTGAAAACGAAAAAATTTCGATTGACAAATTAGTCGGTATCTTCGACACAGCAATTTTAGGACTTGAACAGCAGAACTTTGTAACTGAACAAGAAATTGTGTTTGTTTATAGAATTAAAGAGAAAGTATTATCACATAAAACGAAGCAACTTAAACAACTTACATTGAAAGAAATGTTTAATAAAGTAGACAAATAAAATATTAAGCTTTTTTTTTTTTGTAAATTTTGATACCGTTTAGATCATAATTGTTCTTTATTTCATAAATTCCAGTTCCATATTTTTAATTTTACAATTTCTGCATGCCATCTTACCAGATTTAAAATCCGGAAATATCGATAATCCGGAATCGCCGAAGTCCCGACGAGTCCGCATCAACGACTTTTGACTATGGTATATTATAATACAAGTGAAAAAATTAACAGTTTCACTCACGCATCTGATTTGTGCAATACTTATGGGGCCCCACAAAATTTTTGTAAATGTTATGGGGTCCTGGGGGGTTGCGAAAAAACCTCAATGATAAAAGGGGATCGCGACTGAAAAAAGTTTAAGAAACCCTGCTGTAAATGACACAGAGTAATTAACTTATCTGATACAATATTAAATTTTTTATTTTTTATAGTCTTTTATAGAAAGTATGCAGATCAATATGTATATAAGATGCTACTAAATTGTTTCCATTTACAGATTGCTGCAGCAGCATAAGGGTAAATATCTGTGACCAGGATTTAGATATATACGAAGAGTGTGATGTACACAACTTTTCAACTGTGGGGTATATTTCAGTTAGGTATCTAGGCTTAGATCACAACCTGTTATCCTGGTGCTCATGTAAATTTTCTCATAACTGGAATTAAACACATAACTAACAAATATATTACAATTACTAAGATATAGTTTGATATGCATGGAACACAAGGCAGCACAGTTGTGACATTTAAAAATAGAATCAGAGGGCAATTAGTTTTACTCACAAAAGAAAATAAACTAGTGCAGAATGATAATGCAAGTTTGCCTACAACTACTGTGAAACACTGTTTAAAATTTAATGTTGGTTGTGACATAATATGAGAATCGGGGAGACTACCCATGTCCACAAGAGCTGCTGTATGCTATTGCAAAATTTAAAAATTTCTGTAATCTGAGCAGTATTTCATAAAAAATTATATAGATTCTTGAATAAAGAAAAAACTAATAAAAAAAATCTGAAAGGTTTCAAATTTTAAATTACATCCAAAGGGGCATTTTGCTAACATTTTGTGTGTTACCTTTATTTATTAAATACAGTAGAAATATTGTAACCCGGACCTCAAAGGCATAAACTTTTTTTTTTTTTTTTTGTATGCTTTACACATGCGCATTTAATGTGCGCTTCCGATATGCATGCGTCGCTTCCGATAGTGAAGAAAGTGACAGAGAGGTTACTGAAAACGAAAACATTTCGATTGACAAGTTAGTCGGTATTCTCAACACAGCAATTACAGGACTTGAACAGTGGAACTTTGTAACTGAACAAGAAATTATGTTTGTTTATAGAATTAAAGAGAAAGTATTAGCCCAAAAACGAAGCAACTTAAACAATTTACATTGAAAGAAATGTTCAATAAAGTAAACAAATAAATATTAAGCTTTATTTTGTAAATTTTGATACCCTTTAGATCAGAATTGCTCTTTATTTCATAAATTACGATTTCATATTTTTAATTGTATAATTTCTTCATACCATCTTACCAGATTTAAACTGATGATCTATAATCCGGAAAAAACCCTAATCCAGAATCGCAGAAGTCCCGACGAGTCCGGATTACGGACTTTGTACTGTATCATGTTCTTCACACTTAAACCATAAAACAGCAATATCACAAAATAATTTTAAAATGAGCATATCTTTAGAATTTCCGATAAAGAGTCTCGTGTGCTGAAGATAAAAATATTTTTTTCTTCCTCCGTACACTCTTGTCACTGCTTGCTTTGAAATCATTCAGTTTTTAATAAAAACTGCATTAAAATTTTACAAAACATGAAATCGACAATAAAACAAATTTCAATTTCAAAGTAGGGCTTCCACATGCCTATATTCTATGGAAGATTATGTTATTCAAGTTTTGATGGTTCTAGGTACCGTTGTTTTACCACAATGCGAGAAACATACATACATTGATGCAAATTCTTCATTATTTAATTTCTTTAAATATTATACAGGGTGATAATATTTGGTGACAACAATTTGAAAAGTGAAACAACGCTTATCGTGAATCGACGCAAAATCAATAGTCCTGGGCAAATTGCCCCTTTGGACTAAAAAATTATTAGCATTGTTGTATCTAGCAAGAGATAGGAATAATAAATCTCAATTTAAAAAAAAAAATCATATTAAGATTTTATTCCAATTACTAAATTATGTACAATTACCATTAAAGTTATTGTTTGTTCTTTTATAACTCATTGGTCTTTACCAGAAGTATTTGTCCAGATCCTGACAGATTCTACCTTCCCTGAATGATGAAATACTTTTTCAACATTCTTAAACTCCACTTTTACCATGAACAGAAATTATCCATTTTTGATCTTTTTATATGGTACCAATTGTAAATTTGGATAAATTATATTTATGATGGATATTGATTTGGTTGCATCCATTTTGTATTTTGCAAATAATATTTACCCTATCTTCAATGGAGAGGCTTAATGTGTACATCTCATTATGTACATGAAATACTGATGTAGAAGCACAGTGCAGGGTGTTGTGAATTTTATCATCTATGTGTCTCCTCCAACGTTCAGTTCAACACAATCATTTCCCTCAAGTATGTATGGTTGCAACACAAAGATTAAATAACCTTCATAAAGAATATATCATTTCTTTCAAAAGACTCAAAAAATGCAAAACCCTCATTGGAAGAATGGAACTTGTACATCATTTATACTCAAACAAAATAAACCAATAAAGATCAAAACTTAAGAGAAGAATCAACTGAAAAATTGGAAATGCTTAAGATCGACTACTTTCTCTTCTCCTGAGTAGCCAAAATTTTAAAAATCCCAGTATTGAATAGAGTTTTATTTCCCAGCTCCATTAAAAAGTTTTGAGTGGAATCAGAGAAACCATTAAAAATGTTCATTTGATTCAGTGGTCAGGTACACCATACAGTGTCCTAAGGTATGCTTACTGCATCCTCATTCTCCTACCCAGATGTCACACCTGTCTTACACAACCTTTATTTAAAACATAGTGGGTATAAAGTAAAAGAAAAATAATGTAAAGATGTTTTCCTTTACAGGTGAAATGCGGATTCTAATATTCTAAATGTGAATGATTTTACTGATTAGTAATTTTTTTAAGCTTTCACAAATTCTAGAAAAAATATAAAAAACTACAAAAAGTTTCAATCGAAGACATCTACACATTATATTTGATTTTCATATTCTTAGAATTTCACTATAACAATATAAAATAACATTACATGTATAGAAACTAAATGAGACCAAAAGGTTCATTCTTTGTATCCAGGGCTTTGTTATAACAGAGCCCTTATTTCTTGATACTCTTAGTAAATTCAGCCTTCGACTGTATTTAATGAGAGTAATCAAGAAATATGTTTTCTGGTTCAAAAGGCAGAACTCACTTGTGTCAGGTTTAATTTTAACTTAATTAAGAAAATTTTTTTATTTAATATTTTATATTATAATGGAATAATTAATTTTGTATTACAAGAAATATTACCCTCAATTCAAATATTAATTACAAATTATTCTTTTTTCAAAATTATTCTACGTAAATTTAGTTTTATGAAGTACAAAAATTACATTTAACTGCCATTGATGTGATAAAAGTAATATCACAAAAACCTTTCTTGTGGTAGGAAATAAAAATTATTACATACCTCAGACAATTTATCAGAACATTTCTTTACCCATTTTTCTTTCTCTGATACCAATGAGTCAGATCTCTTTTTAGATATTACTGATACTTTCGGTGAAAATCCTAAGTGAGTATATTCAAAAACAATACTTGCTTTGATAATCTATTAAAAAAATAACATTTTCTCATGAATAATAAATAACATTTGCATATGGGATTATTTTTAGGAATATTTCCTATAAATTATAATCAAATGACATTAATAATTGATTAAACATTTGTATGTTTATTCGAATATTTTAAACCAATTTTAGTATGAAAAATGACACGAAATAGGATATTTGAGCAATGAATTTCAAAATTTTCTTAAAAGAATGAATTATAATCAAGTAATTAATCTGAAGTTATAATTATAGTATTAATTAAAAAATAGTTTATAAAAAGTTATATTTGGGTAATTTAGTTAACCAAAGTACTTTACTATGTTATTTAAATGGTTGTTGACTAATACACTTCCACCATGATATAATCTTTTTTGCTGTTTCCTCCTCAAAAAATAAATAAATAAATAAATAAAAATAATCATTTAAATAAAATTTTTAAATGCAAATTTTAAAAATAATATGAATTTATTTCTGTGAAATTTTAAATTTGGGTACCTAGTACTAAGAGAAGATAGAGTACTTTAAAAATGTATTTTGATCCTTACAAAATTATGATAAACTATATATTAACAGTCATTTGATTACCATTCATTGAATTTTTTAATGAAGGTGATTTATTCAAAATGAATATGAAGTATTGCATTAATGTGATCCATTGAAAATGAAGCATTTTTGTTATTCTTATAAACTATATTTTCACAATGTGTATTAATTATATTTTTTTAATAATTGAAATCCAACATTATGGTTGTAAGTGGTAAAATGTTTTTTATTCTGATAAAATCTGGACTTGCTGCAAACTGATTACCGAGACATAAGATCTTTCATTTAATTTACATGTTACAAAAATTGATCCTTATCAGCATAGCAAAATGAATCATTTAAAAGCAGTCAGTACTTATTTTGAAATAAAAACAATTAACATTTATACAATTGATATGATTAATAAGAGACAATTTTGTATCTTAATGATAAATTTCTACTTCCTCTTCTTGCATCACTATTAATTGCATCAGAAATACACTCTTAGACAAAAAAAGAAGATGCATCAAGGAGTTATTTGAATGGGACGAAAATCAGTAGAAGTGATGTACACGTACGGCAAAACAACTGATTACAGTTTGAGAAATATTGGATGATTTATTGAAGTGATAGAGCTTCACAAAGTGAAAAAGTCAGTAACGCGTTTGTCCACCTCTGGCCCTTATGCAAGCAGTTATTCGGCTTGGCATCGATTGATAGAAGTTGTGGATGTCCTCCTGAGGGATATTGTGCTAAATACTATCCAACTGGCGCGTTAGATCGTCAACATCCCGAGCTGGTTAGACGGCCCTGCCCATACTGCTCCAAACGTGCTCAATAGGAGAGAGATCCGGCGAACTTGCTGGCCAAGGCAATGTTCGGCAAGCAGTAGAAACATGTGCAGTGTGGGGGCGGGCATTCTCTTGCTGAAATGTAAGCCCAGGGTGGACGTCCAGATTACGGACTTTGTACTGTATAAGAAATATAAGTGTATATAAGTATTGCTACGAATTTATTATTTAAAAAGCTAATGTTAGTTCAATTATAAATTAAATGGTTTTATTTCTCGCGCAGTGCAGCGCGTGATGAATATTAAAAGAAAGCTAAGCCGGAAAATTGAAAATACAAAAGCGCGTGCATTCAATAAATAAATATCTCTTTTTGATTTCGAGAAAGTACTAGAAAATTCTAGCGCGTGATTTTAAAATCTTATAAAAAGAGGAAAACATCTCAGTTCGTAGTAGTTGCTTAGTTTGTTGTTTAGAAAACTGCTCTTGTTGATTGTAGCGAATTCGCGGATTAGCTTTCTTTGGAAACATTGAGGAAAAGGTTTCTTCGGTAAAAGAAGAAATAGAAGAGAGAGTTTCTGCCGTGGAACAACAAATTAATGATAGAGTACCTGCGGTCACCAAAGAAGTTGATGATTTAAAGAAATTCGTAGCGACGGCAGGGAACAATAGTGATGGTTTTAAATTTTTACCTATGCCTCCTTGTCCCTTTCTGTAGCTATCCACTTATGATGGGAAGACCTCCTGGCAAGTCTACCGCTTCTCTGAGAGCAGACGCAGCGGATATCCTGCAGACGCTTCCCGAAAACCAAAGACTTGACTTCGAAGCTCTATCCGGCGCATTGGAGCTGCGCTTTGGTGAGAAATGTTTAAAAGACTACAGCAGGCTTCAATTAAAATCTCGTCAACACAAGCTCACCGAATCACTCCAGGAACTCGCCACGGATGTTGAAAGGCTGTCCCACCTCGCCTTTACGGAGTGCCCGAGAGAAACGAGGGAAATCCTGTCGCTGCAATATTTCGTCGATGGCATCCGGGATCCTGAAATACAGAAAGCCCTTCGAATGGCAGATGTAAAGGACATAAAAAGCGCTCTGTTGAACACCATGAAGTTCGAGGCAGCCCAGCAAGCAACTCATAGAGATCGCTACCCAGTTAGAGCTGTGCGAGTCCACGAGCAAGTGGATCAATTGATGGCTCGTTTAGATGATTTAGCCAGACAAGTTGACACTTTGATACGGAGTAGGAGCGAGAAGAAAGTAGCTCTAAGGTATTGGAGATGTGGTAGTGAAGGTCACCTAAGACGGAATTGCAGAACACCCCAGGGTACGGAATATAAAGCAGATGATTTTAACAGACAAGTCAGTGGCTTGAGATGGAACAGAAGTGAAAAGAAACTAGTTCTAAAGTGCTGGAACTGCAGAGTTGAAGGCCACATACGAAGAAACTGCAGAACACCCTGAGGTACGGAAAATCAGACCATTTCCCAGCAACGATGCAGTAAACAAATTAGTGATCATATCGAGGAACGGAGGTTGCCAGATAATGAAAAACCTTGTTTTAAAGCACTTAAAATTTATACAGTGAGTGGCAACAGTAACGGACTGTCCATTAATGGGAATATTGATGAAGTTCCTTGCAATATGATCATTGACACAGGAGCTAATGTTACCATCATTAGGAAAGATTTAGCTGAACAGTTTAAAGATAAACTTATTTGGATGCCATCCTGTGTTACCCTTCAGACTGCGTCTGGTGATAAAATCGACATAACTGGGAAGTTAAACGTAAGCATCACGTTTGGAAGTGCCGCCTACCATCACAAGGCTTATGTGGCGGATATCACAGATCCATGCATACTCGGATTGGACTTTTTAAGGAAATACAATTTTTCCTTAGACTTGAAAAACAACAAACTGCTTTCAGGATTTGAAGACATGACTATCCATCCTAAGAAGGGATCCTCACCTGGAAATGCCGACGCTTTGTCCGAAAGAACCAGCTCGAGAAACTGCCGAAATCATGCTAGGGTCGAAAAGAAACACCAGACTACCAGCTATTCTCCATCCCAGACGCTCTTTGGTCGAGACCTTCGTCTGCCTTGTGACCTCCTGTTTCATTGCCGTACGGATGCACCTTCATCGCCTGAGGAACACATCCAAGATGTCAAGGCCTGTTTTGAAGTGATGCACTGTTCCGCACGAAAGCAAATAAACTTGGCGACGGAGAAATTGAAGAACAGATACAACACAAGAGCTACTGGACATAGATTCAATAAAGGAGACAAGGTGTGGTTGTGGAACCCGATTCGACGAAAAGGGATCAGGCCTGAATTACAATCACCTTGGGATGGTTACCACACAGTCTTAAACAGGCTGAATGATGTCGTGGTTCGGATCCGTAAGTCTTCGAACTCTAAACCTAAAGTCGTTCATTAAGACAAGGTTAGCTCATTACTACGGCCATAGTGTGTAATGTAAATAATTGTAAATAGTATAAGACATGGTCCTTTTTGTTTCTAAATGTGTATTTTGTATTTGATTTTCATTTAGTATTTGATTTGTATTTGATAGCATTTGATTTGTTTTATTTATTGCATTTATTGTTCATGTTGTTTGATATTGTAATGTAATGTTTATGCCTCATATGCATTTATGCCACAGTTGTAAGTTTAGCTTCCTGTCCAGGGATTGTACCGCCCGGGACGTGCAGTCCTTGGGAAGGGGGCAGTGTTACGAATTTGGTATTTAAAAAGCTAATGTTAGTTCAATTATAAATTAAATGGTTTTATTTCTCGCGCAGTGCAGTGCGTGATGAATATTAAAAGAAAGCTAAGCCGGAAAACTGAAAATACAAGAGCGCGTGCATTAAATAAATAAATATCTCTTTTTGATTTTAAGAAAGTACTAGAAAATTCTAGCGCGTGATTTTAAAATCTTATAAAAGGAGGAAAACATCTCAGTTCGTGGTAGTTGCTTAGTTTGTTGTTGTTTAGAAAACTGCTCTTGTTGATTGTGGTGGATTAGCGTTCTTTAGCTGTTTTGAATTATGTTCTATTGGACATTTGAGTAGTTAAAAGATAACTACTGTGAGATATTGTAATACTGCATGATAATTTGAGAAAATTTAAGCATTTTTGTTGTGATAATAATAAATTTTTGTTCATTTTTCATCGGACTTGTGCATTCATTTCATAACGAACCCATACGCATGCAACAATATATACGAAATAAATGTATGTTATAAATATAGTAAGTTATAAATGTATATATATAAAAGAAATGAATTGTAAGCAAGTATAAAAAATCACATTTTTTAAACTAATTTGACAATATTATACTATAAAATTTATTTTTAATTGTCTATTAAGCTATTAATTGATAATAACTGAAGTTTAATTGTATGCTAAAGAATAACTTAGGCAGGTATTCTTTAGCATACAATTAAACAATTTTAAAATCATTTTAGTCTACTAAAACGTTTTGCACATGTATTATTTTAAATACAAAATTTTCAGTTAATGCAGTGTTTATTAAATACTTATTTAATGAAGCTAAAGATAATAAAATATTTATCATTAAGTACACAGTATTGTGATTTATTGCTTTGACTGATTGTGTATATACTTATATACACTTATATACTGCATAATAAATGAGCTAGCTAAAACAATACATCACAAATAATAAAGGTGAAGGTATGAAATGTGTAAACTGAATATATTTCAAAAAACATATAATAGTTTGTCTTCTTGATATAAAAAGAATATTTACAAATTCTTATTTTTTATTAAATGTTAATTCACTGAACTACCTTTTGTTTATTTTTATTTCAGAATTGATTCCAGACTTCCTTATTTTCAAAATACCTGAACTTCCCATTTAATATTTCATCAGATACTTGTATTACTTCTGTTATTTTTAATATACATGCAAAAATTAATAATATAAAGAATGCTGCCAAATACATACACATTAAAAGACATAAACATATCATTTTTAACATTCATTATAAAATAAGCCATGATAATAACAAAAATACTTAAAAAGCATTAATAATCATAAAAATAACCGAAATAAATTACAAAAACTTCATAAACTATAAAATGCTATTTTTATTCAAAATGCATTTTAGAAAGTTTATAACTAATATCCTTCAATGCAGGGTACTGCGTGTGCAATAATACACAACCGTTATGGACGATGACAGAATTTTAAATTTTATAATCATACCTGCATCTTTGGAAAAACATTACACATAATTAATAAAGAAAAATTCAGCTTTGTGCAGTTGAATGTGGTGAGAATTTGTGGAAAAAATTGTGCAAATTATGTGGGTAATAATAATTAACTATAATTACCAGTGTCTTGGTGTTTGCAACATAGTTGAAATTTCCTTCCAACATGGAGTTAAAGTTTGATTTTATAATCAGTCCCTCAACAACAGAGGAATAAGAGCATGGCAACATTAAAGGACAGGTAATTATACCATCAACTCTAAATCTACAAAATATTTTTTTATGGAATATATGATTTAATCATAATTATAAGCAATATATTTTACTTTACATCAAAGAGTTTACAACAAAAATATTACAAAAATTTATCTTACTTTATGTTTTCATTAGAAGCTTGCTGAACCCACACATCACATATTAGTTTAGCCAAATCAGCATCACCATGGCTAAGTTTATGCACAACAATCTTCATGGATTCTAGAGATAAATTATATTCAGAAAATTTAGTTTTTGTTTCATTTTCAATCTCGGGTTCAAAATTCTCTTCATTGCACACAGAAGGAGAAAAGTGACGGCTGCTGTATCGAATTCCAACAGGCATGCAGCTGTTAGGTCTTGTATTTAAAATACTTGTTTTCTTTGCTGAGGCATTTAAAGCAATTTTTCTTAAAGCTACAGAATTTTTTGTATTTTTGATATTTTCATGTTTATTTACAGCCGTTTCTTTTTTTAAAAATAACATTTCTTCTAAATTTATGGTAACATTTGGAAGCAATGAAATAATATGTTCCAAAGATTCCTGAGAATAATAAATAATATCTGCTATTTCACAGCCCTGAAAATGAAAGAAATAAATGACTTAACAAATTTTAAACAAATTTTTAAAGTAAAAAACAAAACTGGAATATATTATGAAATCAATAGTCACTGTAAACAATAGTACCATTTTAAATTTTATGAAATTGCATTCAATGCAATTTATATAATCTTTCACCATAAATTAGTTTATATATAAAATAAACAAAATATTGGCAATTTTTGAAAGGTTAGTTTTGTCCAGGAATGAGACATCTGAATCTTCAAATCAGATAACATTCAAGAACTTAGGCCCCTTTTGTGCATGTGTGTAGTTCAAAACTTTTAAATCTATTAATAGTAAAGTCCATTAAAGATTTTAACACAATATTTTGGTAAGACTACTTTTATTCAAGTCTAGTAGAAGCGTTCATTTAAAACAGAATGTGATTATTAGAGTCCTAGTGTATCTAGATCACCATATCATCCTTGTGGAAGCCTTGCGATTCACACCGTAAATTTGCTTTTATGAACTCTTAAAACTAACAAACTTTTGATATTCTTAATTTTTTCAACAGAATTTAGCACTTCAAGTATAATGGTAATTTCTATTAACTTTTGAAATAATCCTCTCTACACTTGCTTTAACAACAACAAACAAACAAACAAAAAAAAACAAAAAAAAAAAAAACAAAAAAAAAAATCTGGAAAATTGTAAATATATTTAAACTTTAATTTATTAAATTTCAGTGACGTATATATATACATATATAAATCAAAATTTTAATTTGCAATGGTCCCTTAGTTCTGTGTTTTAATTTGGTTCCTAAACTTAGCAGTTGCTTATATCATAAATATCTCTAAACTGCCTCATTTCAAAATTAATCCTAACCTTTTCTGAAACAAGATTTCATTTTGAACACATTGTATTCACTGTCCTTGCTTCACTACTGCCAACTTGCTCCTGTCTGCTATTTCAAATGCGTTTCAAAATTCTATATCATATCAATATAGTTCTTCAAGTACAGGGGCTTGCTGCACCATTTATATGTTTTGGATGAAAAATATTTGTCAATGAGAATAGAAAAGAAATACAAAAAATGAGACATGACTGCAAGTTTTTTTTTTTTTTTTTTTTTTTTCCTCCCCATCTACATCTCTCTTTGACATCCAAATCACTTCAACTAGTCAACAATATCTGAATTTGTGCAGGGAAAACCGCACAGTTTCAAATCCTGTCGAACAAGCCCTCGTTCTTAAGATACATTACTATGTAACCACAGCAAACATCAGTTGTAGTAGTACAGTCAAAAGTCGTTAATTCGGACACCCATAATTCAGAATGATCTATAATATTTGATCATAAATATTTTGATCATGCAGGATAATATTTCGATAATTCTGATAATGAATTATTCAATGAATACTATATTTAAAAAAAATGAGTAACAATTTGAAAATCAAGCAGTGTTTCAAATATAAGCTGAAATTGATGTAATGAAGACTAATGTTTTCGAAGTGACCACATTTCTTTCAAAATCTATAGCAACATGAATGTTGCATTTTGAACACTAATTACTGCACTAAATTATTGATTAAAACTCAGTAAACAATGTGGAAAAAGAATGAACTTCCCAAAGAATTTATAGTAATGAACAAGAGAAAGTAAGAAACATGACAAAATAAGTGCAGTGATACAAATCGAAAAGTATTACTTCTGTAGACTGGATATCAGTGAAATATAAATTAATGATTATGTATTATTTTTTAATATTGAACTTATAAATTATAATTTTGTACCTTTAGAATAGAAAAATGAACCTACAAGTAACTTAGACCAAACATATATGAAAGATATGATAATTTGGTACGATTCTGGCAAAGATGCATAATTGTAACATTTGCATAATCAAGTGAGTGACAAAATGTTTGTTAAAAAATATACAAGCAATCATATTTTCAAGTGTGTTCTTCTTTTCCACATGCTTCCCAGAGAATACTGGTGAATGATAATATTCATGTATGGAAGCAATGCTTTTGTCTACTGTTAAAAACCTTTTATTAATCAATTATTTTCAGTTTTTAAGCAATTCTGATAAAGAAAAACAGTTTTTCTAAGGATTAAATCCTCCCCTTTTTTTTTTAAAGAATAATTTTTTTCTAGCATCTTTTTTTATTCCCCCCCCCCATTTCAGCCTAAAATGTTATTTTTTAACTTGACTATTTAATTTTTTCAAATTCATTTAGTACGGAGAGAGAGCTAAGATAATATGTATTCAGAGCTTTATTATTTTATTTCAAAGCTTTTCTCCCATTACTTAATTAAGAAATTATGATGGCTGATTATCTTTTTGAGACACTGCATACATACATTTCTGAATCCAGTCCTGATAACAGAAAACCCAGAAACATAGTTAATCGGTTTTACTTTTTAAAACATAAATTCTACATATATTATTGCAATTAGTAGTTTCATAAAACAAAGTGCAGAAGGTACAGCATTTTATTAAAATTATGCAAAATTTTAGCAGATATTCGAAAAGCAAACTTACTTAAGACAGTAAGATATTTCTTTTTATATCTATTAATAATTTAAATTTGAAATTTCTGTGTGTATATTCTAGGCACAATACAAACAACTACAAAATAAAAACTGCTCATTCATATAATTAAAGCTTTTAGTTTTACTTTGAATGTATTGAAAGTTCTATAGCTTTTACTTTGAATGAATAATTCTGTTTCAGGTAAAGTAGTATGCATCATCAAATTTGTAGATGGCACTTTTATTTCTTATAAAAAAATTTACTAAGCTTACATTGTTACATTGCTTTGTAGAGACCATTTTATAAGCTAGATTTTTAATTATTTAATAAAAAGCAAGTTTTTTTTTTTTTTTTTTTTTTTTTTTTTAAAGCACAAAGGACCCAGAAAGGTTATTAATTTTGCTTTGGCATTTTGTGCTGTTTCACCTTTCAAACTGTTGCCACCAAATATTACTGCACTGTATTATATTTAAAGAAATTAAATAATGAAGAAACTGCATAAATGTATGTATGCTTCTCGCACTGTGGTAAAACAATGGTATCTATAGCCATCAAATTTTGAATAACGCAATCCTCCACTCAAATATGGGTGTTTGGAATGAGCATCTAATTTGGAATTTGTTTTATTACCTATTTCGTACAACTCTAATGAATTTTTGATTAACAAACTCAACGATTTCAAAGCGAGCAATGGCAAAATTGTACAATTTTTTTTTTTTTTTTTTTAAATCTCCAGCATACGAGACTGTGCACTGGAAATTCTAAAGATATGCTCATTTTAAAATTATTTTGCGATATTGCTGTTGAACTGAATTTTATGGTTTAAGTGAAAAGAACATGATATTTAACAAATAAAGGTAACACAAAAACATTTTTAAAAAGAACCCTTTGGGCATAATAAATCTGAAAACATTCTTCCCTCCCCCTGGTTACAGGTTTGGTTTGGTTTGATAGATTTTGGCAAAGCACACTAAGGTTATCTGCCTAAGAGAAGGGATGCCTTCGTGAAGGACTTTCTAGGGCAAACTCGCTCATTGATACATTATACATGGGGAAAACCAAGAAAATGGCCATGCAGCCAGCTTGTTCACTGAATTCGAACCTCGGACCAAATTACAAGTGTTCAGCAACTTTACCCGCTCTGCCACCGTTGATCCTTTTTTTTTTATAGGAACCTTTCACTTTCCCACTTTCAACAATCACACTATTTCCATAAAATTCTGCATCTTATTTAAAACATAAGCTGTAGCTTGAAATACACTTCTGGCCATTAAAATTGCAACACCAGGAAGGAATGACCTAAGGAACATCAAAATCACTTGAAAGGAAGAAGTTGATTGGGATATGCAAATGATTAGTATTTCAGCGCATTTACACGTCACAGGAAGGAGAAATGACATCTGAAGCACTGCATAAAAGAAAAGTTGTGCAGTGGATTTCTCAATCGGAAAGTGCTTCGTAAGGTTGGAGTTTGCTCAGAATATTGCGTTATGCTTTGAATAAGAAGAGGATATGCTTACCAGACAGTTTCGAAATTCGATAAGCAGGATCGTTGCCTATCGAAAGTGTAGATTATCATTCAGTGATAACGCCAGTCACACTGGTCGACATCCAACCACTGTCATGCGAATATAGAATCAACAGATTGCTAACTAAGGGTCATACTGAACGGCATGCAAGATCTCAACTAATCTCATGACTAATGCCTAATGATCTCAACAACCTCTCCTGACTAATGCCAGAGATGACAGACATATTGTGAGGTCAGCCCTGCAAAACAATATGACCACATCATGGACCATTAGTCCGGAAATGGGCATGTTTGTAGCATGCCTAGTATCAGCTAAGGTGCATCGACGTTTACAACAGCGTGGTCATCAACAGGGAGACCATTACTTCAGCTTCACTTGACAATGCAGCACAGAGACCACGCCTAATGACAAATAACAAATACACCAAATGACAAAGCTAGGTACAGGAGTGGCACAATGTCGCCTTTTCAGACGAGTCCTAGTTCTGCGTGCAGTATTCCGATTCTCTATGTCGAAAATGGCTATAAAGAAAAAACAATTTAATAAACAGTTAATTCTGTTTTCACTAGATGGTGCGCGATGGAATGTTATGATTAATGTTACAACTTTAATTTTTTGCTATTAACTATTGGCAACGAGAATGAACAGACAGTTTTGTAGACAAAAGAGATTTTAGACATTCGGCTGTTTTCTAGCTTTTCTGTATATCTTAACACTGAATTATTATGAAATTAAAAGTTTTTTCCTTCTTCTTAAGATGTAGAATTTATTGATCATATTTCCAAGAATAGGAATCGGCGAGCTCAAATCCGGGCAACACTTTGAAAGGAACAAAGGTAAGTGAAACCTTTTTCCTTGAATTTTAGAACGTAGAACTTAGAATTTATCATATAGAAAGTTTTCTATAACGTGTCTGGAGTGTCTGAGGAGACTGCACGTCGCCAGCTTGCATTCATTATCGGCATAGGGTCCCTGCACCTGGTGTGAGGGTATGGGCAGCCATTGGGTACACTACATGCACATCTATAGTTCGGATCGACGGTAATTTGAACGCATATAGGTACCTTTCTGACACCTTAAGTCCTATGGTTGTGCCCTGTATTTGAGGGCCCCAAATGCCATGTTCCAACAAGATAATGAAAGCCCACATGTTGCATGTCATGTTCTGACTTTTTTCGATATAGAGTATTTGATTGCTTCCCTGGCCTGCAAGGTCTTCAGATCTGCCACTCACTGAAAACATCTGGTCATGGGTTGCTGAGAGACTGACCCGCAATCCATCTCCAGCTAACACAGTTGATGAAATGTGGCATCGACTTGAAGCAGCATGGAATGAGTTGCCATTTCTGTCATGCAAGCCCAGTTTGACTTCATGCCTAATGGGGTAAGGGTCATGGAGGTTTATAGGGGTGGGAAATTGGTAGAAACAGCTGCCATGGATGGCAGCTAATTCTACCAATTTCTCACCCCTATAAGCCTCCAAAATGCTTACAAATTTAATCTTTGTTTCTTCAAGCCATACTGTTTATGTGCAATAATTTTTTTTTTTTTTTATTTGCTTTCCTTCATGGTGTTCAATTTTAATGGACAGCAGTGTATATATCTTGAAACAGTAATTAACAATATAAAATCCACAGCCAATTTTATGAATGCTCTGAACAGTATAGACTTGAATTAATATATTAGGGGGAAATTGATGAACTAAATTTGTCTAATAACATAATTAACTCACTTGCTCTATAGCAGCTTTGAATTCCTCGAACCACAAATACCACATAGTCAGAAGTGTTAGAGTAGAGCAATTAAACTGTTCATGATGAGCACACAGAGTTTCTTCTAATAAATATATCCCTGGTTCCTACATAAAAATTCAATAAGTAATATATATCATAAAATTTGCAAGATAGGCGTAACTTGCATTATAGTAAGAACTGCATTCAAAAACATTCTTAACTAAAATTATACATATGATATTTTGGACTGCATGTGATATTTTGGGACAGTGAGAAAACTTAGTAGAGAAGACATCCATTAGTTTAGCAGTTATGAGTGAAATGTTAATGGCATTATAATGTATAATGTTGTAGTTGCATTTTATAACAATAGATGCAAATTGAAGAACAACAATACAGATGCTAGTAAAGTGACAGAAGAGTAAGAAGAATCTGTACATCAAGTAGCTTTTCTTTTCCTTTTTATATATATATATATATATATAAATTTGGTTCCTTTGTTTGAGTTCTGAATGGTGGTTGGATGAAAGCTCATAGCAGTGTTGATCTCTGCAGAGAAAGAATGATGTTAGTGAAGATGCTGTGAAGGTGATTGTATTGAAACTGAAATTAGAAATTAAAAGAGCTATTGTCAATTAAGTTAGCAATTCATTAATAATTTTCCTTCATAATTTTATATCTTAATATATACATCAGAATAATCATTTATAAACAGTAACTTCTGATGCATGTGAGCTGTGAGAAGTATGAAAAACATTTGTGTTATCACAAATGTATTTACCGAGTTAAAAATAAGTTATTAAAATAGATTAAGCATTAATGTGAAATGATTTCTTTAAAATAATATTCATGTCTAAATGTATAATGATTGAACTAGTTTCATATTATCATAATTAAATAATGAGTTTTTGGATTGTATATAAAAATATCAAATAATCTTAAAAAAATAATTTGCAGAAAAATAAAAATACTGTGCATGAATTTAGTATCATAATACTAGCTTAAACTAAGCTTTGAACACATTAAAATAATGTGCAATTTTGAAACATATTTCATATTCACTACTTATTCAGCATTTTTGAATAAAATTATGCCTTTTTCATAGATTTTTTAATTTGGGTCCATGCTTGACAGAGAACATGACAGTATGTTTGAAGATATGATTGTGTCTGACGACAAACAAATAGCTACTTAATTTCTAAAATCAGAAGTATTAAAGCCCTATGGAAAGTCATCAGAAGAGATGGTCAAAAATAAATAATAAAATAACTAAAATTAAAATTCAATTAATTTAGAGATAAATAAATATTAAACAATTAGTTTAAATTAATAAGAAATAGTTAAATAAAAAAATATTGGACCTCAATCATATTTGGGCCAATACTGAATATACAATATAATTTACAATTTTGAAGAATGGCAAACAAAGATCATTCTTTATCCACCACACCAATAGAACAGATAAAATGGTTAAAGTGTCACTAATGAGAATAGAGAGATCAGTATAAATAGTATCAGAGTATGCAGGGCCAGCACCAGAACTATTGCAGTAGCACCGAGTTGCAAAATTTTTAGAAATTAGAAGTTGCGGAGTTTGCACAGATGCTTTTAGGGCTGGTGTTAGGCAAAAAGCCTAAGCCCTAAAAGCATGGAAGGAAAATTTAATGAAGAAGTATCCATATGAAAACAAAGATCCCTCACTATTGTAATTCTAGCTGTCAGGTAGCACGTGACAAGGAAAAAAGTTGCCTCTAAATCTGGAAGTTGATCTGTAACCTGAGAACAAAAGTAAGATTGTCTAGGAGTGACCATTTTCGTCTCCTATGTTTGGTTACATTGTTTGAAAAAGCTTATAGATACCATTTTCTGTGAATAGTAGTAGTCCTTAGCATCGGACACGTTTCAGCTATTTATCTTAGTATTTCACTATGTTAAACTAACTGTAATTTGAAGTGCAAATAGAAACAAACAATAGCCCTCCTCCCATCCAACTGTAAAACACGAGTAACCAAATTCACTGATACCAAATTGGTAGATATGACGGCATGACAAAATAGATCACTTTTTAATACCTATAAGAACAAAAAATTTACTCACTTTTACAGTGTTTTATAACTTCTTACACTTTTTGGAGAATAAATCTATATTTCCAAGGGTTTGTTTTCCAGGGGAAAATAGGCATTCATTCAGAAGTTAGAACTGACTTTTAAGACTCAGTTAATGCTAACATAAAGTTTTAGGAAACCAATGAGGAAAATTTTCTGCCAAAATTGTGGTTAGGTTTCATACAAATAAGTGCTGGAGCCAGTATTTAAGGCTTCGGTGTTCTCCAGCTAGAATTATAATTTATCTCAAAAACTGAGATGAACTGAAGCTGGGTTCAAGGGCAATTTAAGTTATGAACTTGATTCTGGTTGGAAATTTAGAATACTTAGATGTGCCCAATCAAATTGTTAGCCAGAAAAATATTGTTGCGTTTTTCTTCTGACACCAGTTGTTACGTTATTTTCTTCTTTCACGTTCGTATGGGCTTCATGTGGATTTGGAGTGAATAACAATGACAGCACTTGATGAAATATGGAAACACACTTTATTAAGCTAGTACTAATCAGGACAGCTCCAAAATCACATTACAGTTGTCGAGGACCTACTATAAACACACTGACACAATCAACGACACAGCCTTCAGGTTACAAGCTATAACGGTGGAGACAGCTTCACTGCAAAGCACCAGAGTACAGCTCCCGACTCTGCTCGGTGGTTCTCGGAACTCCCTGTACTCTCGAAACTCTCCACGCTACGACTCGCGATGCACTTGATGACACTCAGAGCACAGCTCCCAACTCTTCGGTTCAGTCGTTCCCGGAGCTCTACACGCTCTCTCGACGATTCACTAACCGCGATACACTATGAGACTCTTTCGGTGCACTCGATGACACACTTGGCACTCGCTATCAACTTCGACTCCACAGGGATTGACTCCAATTCGAGACGACCAATTCGATACTAACTATCTCGCACTTCAAATGAGGCACTCCCAGACTGCAAACCAGCAGGGTTCATATAGCTTTCGGCTTGTGTTTGAGAACATTCTGGGCTAAACCGGTAAGAATTTGTTCCAGAAGGTTTTCCATCCATCCATGGTATATTGCCAAATGTGGCAACCCTGCCATCCCTTGCCATTTTATGGCAACCCTAAAACTGCTTTGTGGGGAAGCCATCTTACCGTGCCTGTACATTTCGTAACACTGCCCCCTTCCAAGGGCTGCATATCCCAGGCAGTACAACCCTTAGTCAGAAGCCAAATTCGATACAATCGAAACGTTTTAAAACATACAGATAACATCACTAAAGAAACAAATATTTACACTATCTACAAGTTATGCACACAAATTAAACACATAATACAATTTTTAAAGCTTACAAATTAAAGTTCAAAAAGAATTTCAGTCTCAGTCTTTTCATTAAAATATACCCAGGTCAAATACTTTTCCACTGCAGTTCTCAGACACATTTCTGTTTTGCATATCACAGTCTGAAGATTCAGTCCTTTCATACTTTTCATCTACAGGAAAATATGAGACAGTTTGTTCACCACTCTGTAGTTAATTTGCAGCATGCGTATAGTTCACCTCGGTATTTTTAGCAGATGGTACATGCTTACTTACCTCTATTTCCAGAAGGACAGTTCCGATTTTTGCATCAGGGTCATGAACGGAACCCGATACTTTTAAAAACGCAAGTATCCTGGTTTAGAATCAAAATCAAGTCCTTGTCTGCAAAACCTGCACTATGAAGCATACACCCAGTTTATGAGGTGGATGAATTTTCTTGCAATACTGGAGCACACTGCTTAAGTTGCACATCAGCTTCCTCCATTTCTGTATCACATGAACTTTCCGATGGTTCAGTACTTGCTAACTGCGACTTCGTAACCTCACTATCATTTTTGAAGAACTTAACAGTCGTATTTTCACTTTCTTCCACTTCAGGCACTTGTGAATCAAAAGCTTCTTTCCCGTCTTTTATTTCTCCATGTTTTCGTTGTTTTTCTTTAATCCCGTTATATGTTTTATCCATCATTTCTTGATCTTTCGCAGGCAGTTCATTAGCTACTTCATTTCTTCATCCTTTGATTCTTCAGATGCCACTTCTCTCATTTCCACATCATCTTTTATGGATCTAGTTTCTTCTGCAAGCTCCCCTTTCACCTCTGCTCGGTCGTTCTCAGAACTCCACTAACTCGAGACTCTCCACGCTACAACTCGTGATGCACTCGACGACGCACAGAGCACGGCTCCCGACTCTTCCGTTCAGTCGTTTCTAGAGCTCAACGCGCTCTCTCGATGATGCACTATCAGCGATACACTAAGACACTCTTTGATGCACTCGATGACCAACTCTGCGCTAGACTTCGAGACACTCGCTCAATGACTGAATATCAGCTCGCTAGGCGAAGCACACACTTGATACTAACTAACGCACACTCTAGACGAGGCGCACACACTAACTGACTGTGGACTAGAGGGTTTATATAGCTTTCCGCTTGTGTTCGTGAACATTCTGGGCTAAACCGGTAAGAATTCGTTCCAGAAGGTTCTTCATACATCCATGGCATATTACCAATTCTGTCGCCAAATGGGCGATTTCTTGCCAAATGTGGCAACCCTGCTATCCTTTGCCATTTTATGGCAACCCTAAAACTGCTTTGCCGGGAAGCCATCTTACCGTTCCTGTACATTTTGTAACAATATGCATCTGATGAGTAGCAATAGAATGCATGTGAAATTAGAACATTTCAAAGAGTTCTTGATTCTGTTTTTCAAGTTATATATACTACCGGCCACTGTCCCATTAATAATTTCCTGGATGCATTCTGGAAGAGGTAGGGTGGAGGAGAGAATGTAAAAACTCACAGATCATACTTCTTCATCATATTCCAAAACTTAATCAGTTTGAACTCGGTGTACAAGTTTCTGCTAACGAGTTGGACTGAGTTGGATAGTATAGTTAACGAGTGAAAATAACAGTGCACAGTTGTGATAGGAAGTGACCATTCAAGAAATTACTCTAACAGATCAAACATTACAAAAATGAAGAATATGAATGAAATTATTAAGAGAGG